TATAAGAATGATGTACTTAAATTATAAGTGTTTGTTGAAGTGTGCTTGCCACACAGAAACTTGAAAATACAGTGGTACCTCGGTATACGTCTGCTTTAGAATACGTCCTGTTTGGACGAAACAAATTTTGCTCGGTATACGACATAATTCAATTATACGCGCTATCAATGAACAAGTAGCACTATCGGTGTAATGTTATAATGAGCTACATTTTTATTGATCTACAACAAACACAAGTATATACTAAACTAAATTTTACAGACTATAGGCCCAATATAAAAAATGGTACAAATTTTCCTATAATAACTAGACCAGACTAGACATTCGCGGGGCAACGGTTTATAACTTTCTTTAATTTCTTCTGATTTTAATTCGTAAGTAAAATTTTATTATTTTTATTAATCACAAATCCCAAAAAGGCAAATGAAAAGCGACAGAAAACTAAAAAAATGACTAGAATTACAATGGAACTGATGAAAGAGATTGTTGAGAAATACTAAGGTGGCACGCGTGTTCGATCTTTTAACTGTTGCATACCGTATTTCGAGAACGACGATATGGACCATCGCGAAAAATAAAGACATTATTAAATCTGCTAACGTTGCGAAAAGGGGTTAAATCAATTTTTAAACAGAGATCGAAGACATTACATCATGTCGAGAAATTGCTTTTGCTTTGGATAACTGAAAAACAGTGCTGGAGACAGTGTATCGGAAGCAATTATTTGCGAGAAAGCTAAAAAGATACACACTGATCTCACGAAAAATCAAGCAGGAACTAGCCAGGAAAGCGAGGTGTTTAAAGCCAGCCATTTTTTTTTACATGAGAACGGATTAATCATTTTTACATTACTTCTTATGGAAAAGGTTGGTTTGGTATACGTCCAATTCGGTATAAGTCCAAACATTGGGAACGGATTAAGGTCGTATACCGAGGTTCCACTGTACAACAGAAACATGCATAATATTCTGGCTTCTGATTTAGACGAGTATTATCTGATTATATCTAATTCTAAAGGACTGGTTGTGATGCTGAGACAAACCACTTCTACAACTGAAATGTAATTAATGTATGTAAAATTATGAAAATGTTGTAAGCTAATTAAAAAAAAAACAATATTTAAAAAGAAAGAAAAATATGTATACTTTGTAACCAATATCCGACGTGAAAACTCCAAACAATGATTGGCAAATGCTTTCGATGCCCCTCTTGGGCTCTTCTTCAAGCCAAATTTACTGTAACTGGATTCTTAAGTCGAATGTTTTTAAATAAGAACGTGCTCCGTTTCTAATAGTTCAAATAAGGAAGGCAATCACGTGCCATTTCAAAATATAATTTTTTATAATTTTTACTAGTGGAGATACAATGTGCGCATCCTATAATAATCTCTTGTATCATATAATCACATGAGATTATTATAGGATGCACACATCGTATCTTCACTAGTAAAAATTATAAAAAATTATATTTTGAAATGGCACATGATTGCCTTCCTTATTTGAACTATTAGAAACGGAGCACCTTATTTAAAAACATTCGATTTAAGAATCCAGTTACAGTAAATTTGGCTTGAAGAAGAGCCCAAGAAGGGCATCGAAAGCATTTGCCAATCTTTGTTTGGAGTTTTCACGTCGGATATTGGTTACAAAGTATACATATTTTTGTTTTATACAACCCGGTGTGGGAGAAATCTTTGGTTAAAAAGAGAGACTTTTTCATAGAAAAAATTTTCTTAGGATATAAGCAATTTGAACAGAAATTGAATTAATAAACTTAGAACACTTAAACTTGAATTGTATTTGAAGTTTACTCTACTAAAAATGGTAATTTGTGTAAATTTGAAAATACAGATGGGAGTATTGCCCCCAATTAGTCTGGATTTTTGATTCTTCTTCACTTATATATGTCACTAGTGGTTGACATTATTCAAGGTGCAAGTTTATAGTGTACATAGAATAGCATGAGATGCATTAGAGCAGAGAATAGGTTTTCTGCCTGTGTTAATATTTGTTGTATTCTAGTTTATGAATAAATCGTTCTTCAAAATCAGGTATGCTAAGTTTGTTGTGTTTTCCAGAGCACAGATAGCATCTTGTGTACAAGTAAATGGGATTCTAATGCATAGCTGGTTACTTTTTACACTCTCCATCATACATAGAACTTGATAATTTCCAAATTGTCAAATGTGTGTATTCATAATTAGAATTCTAAGAACAGAAAAGGCTGAGATAATGGCAGGTCTAACAGGCAAATGTCTTGAAAGATCAAATCCTTAGCATGTAAAGTTCTTAAAAACGGGTGATTTTCATATAAAGAAGAGTAGAAGCAGTTTACAGAGTATTGAAAAATATGCATGTATTCAAACCAATGTACTGGCTCAAGTACATAAATGTAATTCCTTTTTATTATGTATATATAATGTCAACTCAAAACCTGATTTAATTGATTAAAGCCAAACGATTGTTGCTTTATTAGGCTGTTTTTAGGATATGTAATAATGAGTTACCCATTAATTTGAATAGCGGTAGGTGAATATGTTGTCATCTCGTATTAATTTTAATGATCATAATAAACTAGCAGACGAACCCAGCGTTGCTTGGACAAAAAGTAATGATAGTAAAGATGATTAGATTATGGCCAATCTTACCTGTTTTCACCGAGTGCAAGAATTAGGTCCCTCCCTCTTCCAAGACTAAGTAGAAAATTTTTAGATATCTGCTTACCACACTGGAATAATGATAATTAATATTCACAGCAACCACTAACCGGTGCATAGTACCACTAAGTGATGAATAACACCTTTTTTTAACCCCTTCTAGATTCTTCAGGTTTACTAAATTCAAAAAATAAGCTGGATCTTCCCGAATCATTCATAAATATAAATTTGAACATAAAACCAAACATTAAGACAAAGAGTTCGAATAAAGCAAACTTATGCATGTGCTTCCGTTTTTATATATGATGGAACACTAAATACCATTGAGAATTTTTAGAAGGGTCTAAAAATGTTCAATTTTCTTCATAAATGAAAAAAAGGCATCTGAAATAGTACAGTAGAAGCAGAGTTCTTTGGGACAATCCTTAACCCTCTCTCTCTCTCCCCCATGGTGGGAATTTTGAAAAATCATTCTCATGGCATACTCTAACTGTACCAAATTTCAACTTTCAATTCCTAACCGTTTGGGCTCTGCACTTATTATACAGGTCTGCAAAAAAATTTTTTCCAGCTGCATGGAATATTTTTGCGAATTATATGTTTAAAGATTGCAGATTCTAAAAATAACTTCCATTACATCCCATCACGTAAAGGCTTTTTGCAAAATAAAAACAAATTTTTGATAAAAACTCTTATTTATTACAATGAACTAAATATATTATTTTCCTTACAACTAATCAACAAATTGTTTGATATTTATATACAATTTTAGGTCTACTCTTTTTTCTTATGAAACCTTTCCTTCTTTTTTGATGCTTCTCCAAACTTGTTTCCGGTTTCCTTCTCTGGTTTCTCTATTGAGTATCCAACAGTAGTCAGCTAACATATTGACATCCCATTTTCCTTGGTAATGTCTCTTGATATCGTGGACATCCTGGTGAAATCTTTCATCCTGTTCTTCATTGTAGGCACCCAAGTTTTCGGGAAAATAGTCAATATGGGAGTGTAAGAAATTAACTTTTAAGCTCATCTTGCATCCTTCAGCTTCATACGCTGCTGCCAGCATGCTTTGTACAATGGTTTTGTAGTCAGGGTCCTTAGTATTCCCCAAAAACTTATGCACTACATTCTTGAAAGAGTCCCATGCTTCTTTTTCCTTTTCTCCCATTGTTTCCAAAAATCTGCTTTGTCTTGATCTCCAAGTTTCAATTTGAAATATGCAAATTAAACTTTCTTCACAAACTCACTTGTTTCTTTGTTGACTTTTCACTGCGTATTCACCACAAACATAACAGAAGCTGTCGGGAGAAATTACACAACCTCTGCCAGCCATATTCCAGAAATGAAAATACATGCACAGTAGCATTCAAATGCTGGATATAAACTGAGTGTGGGCATTAGATGGCCAGTGAGATACTGAAATTATTTAGCTTGTTGAAACACGATCTAATCCAACAGCAGGCTGTTTATATTTGTTCTTAGTATCCCAGATAACATGTTGAAACATACTCAACCTCACCAATAATATTACTCCCTATCAACTTTTAACCTGTTTCTATACGATCATGCAACCTTCCTCCTAATGCTAAAACTATTTAACCCACCTCCCCCCTACAACTACTCTCTTCAATAATTAACATTATTTATTTATTACCAAGTCCAGCTATAATTGATAGAATTAATGTGAGAAGTCTTCGTTTTAAGGCCATTTTTTAAATAAAAAAAAGAATACTAAATTTTAAGTTAACTAAGAATTTTACGCTAAATACAAACAAAAACTTGAGTGTAACAAAAAAAATTGACGAGATGGAATTTTTTTGGTATTTTTTTCATTTTTACCAAGTTGAAATCTGTAAGAAAATGTATAAAAATCCTATGCAGTTTTTTACCTGCAGACCTGTGTTATCATTATCAACCCTCTCAATTATAAGATCAATTTTTAATTTAGAAATTTCTGGAAGAAAAGCATGGGACTCAAACCTGCAACTTATGGTTATTGTGCAGATGCATTGTTAATTATGCTACCCAGACTTCTGTCCAATCTTTGTATCCAGAACTATTAATTTAGATATAATATACGGATTATACATGATGCCATCTGGAGATGTTTTAAGCACCTGGTGTCTTAATTAATTAAAATAGCCTGATAATTCAGCAGATTGTTTGGCTTTTTTATTACATTTTTATGCCATTTACAATGCTGGTCTTTTGATATTTATTTTGTTAAAAATACATATGTAAACCTCATGTTAATGTACATTCTGGATAGTTAAGAATTAGCATATCAAGAAAACTTGTGTATATAATAATTTCCATTAATTATTGAATAATTTTTTCTTTTCAGGTAAACTGAATTTATACTAACAAGAATAATGAATAATAGAACAAAACACTTACTACACTGTATAGCTTGCATAAGTACTATTCTCTTCTTTGAAGTTATATCTGGAGGTATTCATCTTTGGAAATTTAGTTACGAAGATATTGATCCCGTTGCTTCATACGGCTATATAGTATCTGCCATTCTATATTTGTTCCGCATTCTCACTCTACTGGCTTTACCGCAATGTGTATGCAACTGCCTCGGCTTGCTTTTATACAATGCTTTCCCAGAGAAGGTCAAACTCAAAAGCTCTCCCTTGTTGGCGCCTTTCATCTGCATTCGTACAGTGACAAGAGGAGATTTTCCCAGTCTCGTAAAAGGCAACGTTACCAGAAACATGAACACTTGCTTAGACATGGGTTTAGAAAATTTTATGATGGAAGTCGTGAGTGACAAACCGGTCAATCTGCCCAAACATCCTCGAATTCGTGAAATAGTCGTCCCTTCCACGTACAGGCCAAAGAGTGGTGCGTTGTTTAAAGCGCGTGCACTGCAATATTGTCTAGAAGACGATATTAATTTATTAAGTGATAACGATTGGATTGTTCATCTAGACGAGGAAACTATTATAACGGATAATGCAATCCGTGGCATCTTAAACTTTGTCATGGATGGCAAACACGAATTTGGCCAGGGGCTGATCACTTATGCAAACGAAACAGTTGTAAACTGGATAACTACATTAGCAGACAGCTTTAGAGTAGCAGACGACATGGGAAAATTAAGATTTCAGTTTAAAATGTTTCACCGTCCATTATTCAGCTGGAAAGGATCCTATGTGGTAACCAGAGCAGGAGCAGAGAGAAGAGTATCTTTTGATCACGGACTGAATGGTTCCGTGGCCGAAGACTGCTACTTCAGCATGGTTGCCTACAAAGAAGGTTACACGTTTAATTTTATCCAAGGCGAGATGTGGGAGAAAAGTCCATTCACTTTCTGGGATTTCCTACAACAGAGAAAACGTTGGATGCAAGGCATATTCCTCGTGGTCCACAGTGCCGACATACCAGTACGTAATAAATTATTTTTAGCTTTTGCATTGTATTCGTGGGCAACCGTTCCTCTGACGACGTCAAACATAGTTTTAGCAGCACTCTTTCCCATCCCCTGTTGGCAGATAATTAATTTCCTATGTGCCTTCGTTGGCAGCATGAATATTTATATGTACATTTTTGGTGTGGTGAAATCTTTCAGTTTATATAGATTGGGTCTGGTGAAATTCCTCTTTTTTGTTATTGCCGCACTCTGTACCATCCCATTCAATATTGTGATAGAAAACGTCGCTGTGATTTGGGGTTGCTTCGGCAACAAGTACCGATTTTATATCGTCAACAAAGAAATCAAACCACCCATAACGGTCTGAACTGCAGGAAAACAAAATAGACTTAAGTACTTACCTCATCTGCTTGTCGGATGCATTTTCGGGCCGCCGTAACCAAGACGCAAACTTGGGTTAACATAATGTAATATAACAAAGCATCTTTTAATTATATAGCTTTTTACAAATTCGACTCTCTTATATTGAGAATATACTGATCACGTTGTTAAATACAGATGTATGTATCATACATTTGTATATAATATTGTTAATACAAAAGTGTATATACTGGTTCATCTCACGCCCATTTTAAAGAATAACGTCTAGAAAATGATCACCGAATGGCAGATTTATGCGACTCGAATGACATCACTCGTCTCACTGCCGTTTTACTCAGGATAATGTACATCGGGGAAGTCAAAAGCTTGAATGTTTTTCACATTGTGTAGTTTGAATGATTTTCTTTAGTGCACACAATAAATATTGTTCTTGATAGAAAATTCTTTTATTTATTTTCAAGTATGTAATTACAAAATTCTCAAAGACCTGAATTGTTAATTAACCCAATGTAACTTGGTTCAATTACATTAAGAGTTAGTTCAGATGGTGTCATTACCCTATGTTACTTGTGCAGATTTTTAATATATTTCATTATTGCAACTGTTCATTGTGTACAGAAGTGGGTTGTAAAAGTACATTGTCGTACAATGTGGAGGGAGGGGTTTGTGTCGTCTATATGTTTTTAATGGTATTAGTAGCATATAAATTTATTGTTTACTGGTTGCATGAATAAGTTATGAAAAGTTTTGCAAATATTTTCTGGTAAGTCATTTTTCGACATCGGAGGGGTCCACAAACTACCGTGCACATAATTAGGGTGAGAATTTGCCAAAAGTAGATAATCGTTCACATCAAGGAGGGAGGGAAAATGTGGTTCAAAACTGTACATGTAATTAATGAATAACCCTTTGCTCTGTCTAGTGTTTCAGAAGTAAAGAACTAAGAACAGTACTTACACCTGAATGTAAACATCATCTGTTGGTCAGGTTTAGTATTAGTTAACCAACATTAAAAATTTTAAGCTTTATAAACTACCGTCAACATTTCTCCTTTTTTCTGATTTTAAGTCATACAATTTCACAGTAGACTATAACAAATTGTAATAAACCATCCTTTTATTTTCACTTATATATGTATTTCGAATACTACTACTACTACTACTACTACAGTATCTCACTTCAGTACAAATGAAAAGTTAATCCCACAAATCCTACAAATAAACAAAGTTATAATTAAAAGATTTTTTCCCAGTTCTGTAAATCTTAAAAATTACATATCACAAGCAAAACTGCATGCAAAATTTGACATCCTCTTACACAATTCTAAGTTTTCAAAGATACAACTAAAACCCCTTTTGAGACAACATGTCTTATAAGATAAGGGCAATATTCAAAAAATGGTCGTATTTTAGTTAAACCTGAAGAATGCCATGCCGGTAAAGAGCATCAGTCGGAAAGGCTTCTGCGGAAAGGGGGGAAAGAAAAGCCGTTCGATCGGTTCATATTTATGAATTAAAATTGATGGATAATCTGCCTCGTCACACCCTTCATCAAATTGATTTTTAAACACAACCTGCAGGTTATATGCACGAAACTGACATTTGGAATTCGTACACGGGCGACCTTTGCTCGTATGCAAATTCAAATTGCTATGTTCTGTGCAAGAAATAATTTTTTCTTTTAATTTGTACAGTCTGTTTACAATAAAGATTGTAAAGTATAATTAAATTTGGTGGTTAAAGGTCGATGGGATGGGGAGATAAAGCGGGATTGTGTCATATCTTGAGTAGGGTCAGATTTAATGACAATTTTCCTTTTATATTTTTAATTAAAAAGTTTTTAAATAAAATATGATAACAGATGGTGCCACCAAATATTGCTGGGAAAAGTTAAGCAACTTGTTGCTTGATTTTTTTTGTTTCAATAGCAAAATTTTGTTTTTTCCATTTCAAAGTAGGACCCAATGATGGGACATTCAAAAGAATTTAGTTTTATGCAGTCCGCCAAGGAAGGCAGGTAGTCTTTTCTTTCCTTGGCGGACTGCATAAAACTAGTCTTTTCCAGACTAATAGCAAAGCCCGAAACTCAGTAGTGCATGCAAGTGAAGGAAAATAGTTTTCCATTTTGGGTGCATATTAAATTCAGATTTTAAATCATAGTTATGGGTTCATCAAATGGCTTTGGCTTTGTCTAGTCACTAACAGCGTCTAGGAAACGTGAAAAATCATTTGGCAAATAAATGTCTTTGGTGCGTATTGCGATTCTTTCCAAAACTATCAAAGGCAGATGTGTATACATGTCTAGTTCTGTCCTATTTGTTTTCTGTACATAGTCCATACTACAATGATATTAGATGTTTCAACTTAATTACTGGTAATTTCAACTTTTTGTATACAAATTTATCATCTACTTATGTAATGAGGCCACTTTGGATAATTATCATGTCACGTCTTAAGCCATAAAGTGATTTTAGTGTCATTTCGGAATGCACGTCACACTTTGCTTGTAAGAAAAGTGTGACGTGCATTCTGAAAATGTTAAAACAAGCAATTTTTCATATAAAAGCATACTCTTATTTATATGGAAATACAATATGAAAAAACTTAAAATTGTGGTTCAAATTATTAATTGCTATATTGTTTATTTTGATTATTATACAAAAATAATTTGTACATACAATTTTCAAGTATTTTGGCATTTTAATGTTGCATACACCAGTCGTGTGCATTTTTAAACATTTTAACCCAGGGCGAGACTTTCACGGACGTCTTCCATTCGAATGGCATCCAGGCCCACTGCCAGGGAAACACGCACCTCTCTGGATGCGGCATCATGGCCAGGTGTCTGCCGTCCGGAGAACAGATGCCTGCCATTCCCGCCACGCTTCCGTTTGGATTGAACGGATAGGCCTCGGTCGGCAGACCTTCGTCGTCCACGTACGTCAGGGCCACCAGATTTTCGGCCAGTAGGGAAGACCGTGTGGCTTCGTCACAGAATGTAAACCTTCCTGATTTTTAAAAACATTTGAGAAATTAATTTTCCAATTAAAACAAAAATTAACAAACAAACAAAAAAAAAAACCTTCGCCATGGGCCACCCAAACACCTAATATCGAATCTTCCATTCCTCTCATCATAATGGACTTGCTTTTCTCTACTCGCACGGCAACAAAGCGCGATTCAAATCTTTCCGATAAGTTATGAGCAAGGAAACAACCCTGTTTTCTTTTACCGGACTCTAAAATTTTATAAAAGCATCAGCATAAATAACTCAAAAAAAATTATAAGTACTTTAAGCTTACCGTCCACCGTGGGAGCCACCCAGCTTAACAGGCCCATCAGTTGGCAACCATTGCAAACACCGAGACTAAATGTGTCCGAACGACCGTAAAATGCATTAAACTGTTCTTCTAATTCATGATGGAACAGAAGTCCAGCAGCCCAACCTGTATTCCAAAATATATATGTTTAGAACTTTTAAAAAAAATATGCTTAATTCTAGTAACTTTTACAAATATAAAATTTACAATATTTGCAAACACTAGTATAATTTTGGGTGGACATATCCATTACATCTTCACCTAAATTTTTAAATAAGCTGCAGCAGCATGGACCGAACCAACTTTCGTCAATAACAAGGCAACATCTTGCTATGCATCTTAGTATATTGACTCTTGTGCAAAGGGAATTTGATGAATTAAAGTAAATTCTATGTGACCAGCCATTTTGTCAAATGTTCTGGTTTTTTTTCTCTGAATGCACACAGGCCTATATTGTTTACTAATATACAAATCAAAGGAATTATAATGAATCCTAATTGTATATTTTTACATAGATGTAGGTGACCGGTGCCGGTCTATTGACAAAATGCACAAAACTACCTACACCTATCGCTATATCAAATATACAGAATTATTTTGTAGACATGCTCCCCAAGGTTTTGTATTATGAACATTTTGATATAAAAAAACTAACCTAGAAAGTACATGATTTTTGTACACAGAATAAGAGCCTGTACACACTAGGCATTTTTCAACGCGAGTTTTAAAGAACCAAGAGTTCTATGTAGCCGTACACACTCAAACGCACGCGTTAAACGCACATTTATAGATTTTTGTTAAAATGCGCGTTTTGCGGGCATTAGCTGAGCGCTTTGAGATATATGTGCTGCCATGTTACTGTACATTCGATCGCGCGTTTTGCGGGCGTCAGCCGAGCGCTTTGAGATATATGTGCTGCCATGTTACCGTACATGCGATCGCACGTTTTCCCGGCGCTTTACGGGTGCTTCTAGATTTACGCCGCCATTTTGCTGTATATTCGATTGCGCGCTTTTGGGTAATATCTACTTTTATAATATGGAGTAAGTCATCAAATGATTTTATAGACATTCTAAAATAATTAAAAAACTTGAATTTATTTTGTCTTAGTTTTGGATACAACGTCGCAAACATTTCATGCGTCAGTCTATCTCGTAATATTGGGTGCACCCAAAATTCTCTTTGCCTCTGCCGTCGTCTTTTATGGTGATGATAGAGGAGCCACACACAAGCAATCACTTCCACATCCATTTCCAAACCAAGCCAGTGCGCACGCTCCGCTAAATGCTCGTCGAACACCGAGCTAACGCGCGTTTAAAAACGCCTAGTGTGTACACAGCCTAACTGTGTATTGTTAGGGTTTGTTTCTTCAGTGTACTTAGTAGAATATGTTATGCTCGTTTATCTACTGGCAACCTCCAGTAATAGGTGTTTCAAACACAATTTCTTTCCATCTAATGTACTTTGTTTTATATCAAGTTCAGGTTCCATGGTAACAGTCATACTATCTCCACTGTTATGTTCTACAATTACTGCTTCAAAAATGCATCCAAAAGTTAATAAAAATGCAAACAATAGCAAAAAATGACATTATTCCAACTTTATCAGCTTTGATGCCACCTCGTGAATGGTGACTGAATGTCAGAATGTGTGTGAGAACAAAAATGGCTAATGTGGATTCATTTCTGACTAAATACCGACTTATAATTCAGAATTTGTGCAAAATTTTAGATGTAGAGGAGCCATGTACAGCTCTTTCCACAGGCATTTTATTTCTTGAGAACAAATACCATACCTATAGGAGTTATCCCACATTATGAAAAGCTTAAAGACAATAGATATTATACCCAAATTTCTAAAAATAAAAATCTACCATTCTAGCACCTTGTCATACTGTCAGAAAACTTCTTCAAACTAAGGTTTTGTACTGAGCCCACCTGTGAGACTTAACCAAATTTTCATTTTTTGTGTCATGTATCCAGTATCATTTTTGGATTTTTTTTTTATCATCATCATCACTTTTTTATTTCAAATAATATCTTGTGTTAGTGTGGATATAGGTTCACAATCGAAGTAAACATGTCCATTTTGCATATCTTCCAGTTTCAGTTTTATGGTGCTCTGTATAGTTTCTTAAAATGTCCACTGTATGGTGCTCCTTACAATTTTCTCTTTGCCAACATTTCTTTATGACTAATCTTTAAATCCTTATCAGTGGGGATCGGTAGCCTTCCGTCCGTTCGACCTACCAGAGATGGCCGAGCAATTAAGGCATCGGTCTGTCGCTCTGGGAGAACCCGGGAAGCTAATCTGGACGGGTCCAAAAAATCCTGGGATTTTTCGGGGACAAGCTCGGTTTTATCTGTATTGACTCAATAAAAAAAGCCCTCTTAGTGTCCAAGTGGTGGAAAGAGTAATAAAAAAATCAAACACCTACAGTGTACCGATTTCCAAAGTTTGGTAAATACTAATTTTTATCCATCTTGAATATGATATACAGTGGGTGATCGGTTAACAAACATAATCTGTTCGAAGACTTCGTTCGTTATCCAAATTGTTCGTTAACCGATTATCGATTTACCACAGGTTTTTAAGGAAATTTGATTAATTCGTTCCGGAGACTCCAAAAAAATAAAAAATATATACTTTTTTACATGTAATAGTAAAAATACACATATATGCAGTCATGTTTTTTCTGTTTGTGGGGTTAAAGAATCTGTCCAATGTCGATTGCTTTTGTCTTTTCTTCAGGAGTAATTAATAGTATTGTAATTGTAGAAATCCCCAACCCCATTAACCTTATTCTGGCTTGGATGCCACTTAAATGATCATTGTTCTGACATCTCTGGAGTTTGTCTGTCGTCAGATCAGTTTCAGGTTCCATTATGAGGACTAAAATGCTCTTTATTTTTCAGATGTGATTTTCATTACTCCATTAGCAGCTTGAGACTTCTTGATATATCTTTCATATTTCTCAGTTATTTCTCAGATGCGATTTTCATTACTCCATTAGCAGCTTGAGACTTCTTGATATATCTTTCATAGCTAAGATTGTGCCTACTGTAGACTCGTTCAAGCCATACTGCCTAGCAACATCATCAGACATCTTCTACCTTGACTATTATCTCTTACTGGGTTTCTACGGCAAGCATAGTTCTTGACACTCCTCTTTTTTAGGTTCCATAATATTATCAGTCTTTTTTTTTTTAAATAAAAAGTTCAGAAAAGCATTAGTAGTAATTCAAACACAAATTATTATTGTATTTATTTTCAGGCACTTGGCAATTTTTATCATCAAATTTTATTTAGTTGATACGTGTTTATATTATTTACACACGTTTCAGGCATTTATTGACCCTCCTCAGCCAACTAAAAACAAAAGTTCATAAGTTACAACACTATAAAATTATAAACAACAAACATATTAGGTATTGTTTTTTAAAAACACTTTTTTAATTTACAGGTTATCAAGATATTAAAACCACAAATTTCCATCGCCTATGTTTACTTGTTATTATGGAATTACAAAAACTTCTTGGCCCTTAACACTCTTTATTCTAAGAAACATGCGGTTTCGTATTATCTAAAATATTTTAAAAACCTTTTTTATATGGATTTTCTCTTATACATTTACATGATAACAATACAATGAAGTACGTACCTAATTGGCTGAGGAGGAGCAATAACTGCCCGAAACATGTGTAAATAATATCAACACGTATCAACTAAATAAAATTTGATGATAAAAATTGCCAAGTGACTGAAAATAAATACAATAATAATTTGTGTTTGAATTACTACTAATAACTACTAGCACGGTTTCAAAGTACCAGAATTCAGAAAAACACTTACAAAAATTTAGAGAACAGAAATCAACTAGCCCACAAAAAATTATTTAAATGCAAGGCCCGGATGAAATTCGAAATTTGGTATTAAAATGTTAACAAATAACCGATGGGACAGTTAAACTTTCACTTTTCGTAAATAAACCCCGACGCAAAACTTAATGAGTGCCCATCAAACAGTCTTGCGAAGACTATAAAAAATTATTTGTCAGAAAGGCAAACAAAAAGCTGAAATTGCAAGGGAGAGTTTCAAAATTCGGAGGAATACTATCCGATCGGTATTGGGTTGAGTGTCAATGTTGATGTCTCCCGTGCTCCGAAAGGTTTCGAATTGTTACCCAAAGACAAGAGAAAATCAATCGGTATTCGTTATTTTCTGTCGCTTCTTTTTATGTTTGTCCAGTAAAGTGTTCGTTATCCAGTTTGTTGTCCAATCATAAAAATCTTTCACAAAAATGTTGGTTATCCGATTTGTTCTCTGTCCAAACTATTCGTTAACCGATCACCCACTGTATATGCTGCCATCTTAAGCAAAAGGTCATATTTTGAAAATAACCCAAAAATAAAAATAATCCTTGGGTGTTTAACTCGTGTGCACCAAATAGTGTTAAAAACATTCAGTAACTTCGGGTCAATGTATCAGAGCAAACCGGTCTTTATCGAACAATGCAGAGTTGGGTTTCCTCAGAATATTGGAACAGATATATATCTTGAATTTACTAATTGTAGCTGTATTATTCATTCAGTGAATGGTTGTCTCTTTAATCCGAAAGAATTCCTTCAGTAGACTATCTTACAGCAAGTCGGGTTAAGAAATTCCTTTATTGTATTTTCACATATGCCTTTTGGGCTAGTCAAAGGTATTGTAAAAAGTGTTTCCTTGTGTTACTTGACATTTCTACTCATGTTATTATATTTGTCAACTCAATGTTTGTAATGTGTACTTCCTGCAGCACTGAAGAGGGACTAGAAAAATAAAACTAGCCCAAAAGGCATATGTGAAAATACAATAAAGGAGTTTCTTAACCCGACTTGCTGTAAGATAGTCTACCGAAGGAATTATTTCGGATTAAAGAGACAACCATTTACTGAACAGATATATATTGTCAATGGAAAGGGTGCTACAGTTCTTTAAGATTGAAAAACTAGACAGGTTTCCAGTTGACTTCAACAGGAAATGGAAAACTTTGTAAAATAAATATGTATAACTTTATGTATCTTACATGAATTTAAATCTAACATTTTATTAATCATTATGCAAATTAAAGAATAACGTTAAAAATAATATGAGCATTTGATATAAAAGTATTAATAAGTATAAAGTATATAAGATATTAAAAAGTATAAGATATAATAATTCCAAAATGTGGATCCTGTTATTCTATAACAAACTTGATGGAATGCTTTGTTCTATTGTTCCTTATGGAATTTGAAATTGAAGGTGATTCATTTGGATCTGAAAACTTAGAAGCTTCCAACAACTGCTTCTTATTGAAACTAATTCACAAAGATGATTTTCTCTAAACCAGCAAAAGGAACTTTCAATAGCTAAAGTTATATTTAATTTTTTCCCAGGAATATAATCAAAACACATTTCATTGAGATTATTTGTTTGCATATTTATCTATAATAAACCAATTCTAAAACCTGGATTTTTGGTAAACAGTACAAATTAATGCAAGATATACATAAATCTTGAGACAGATGTGAAATAATCCCCTAAACTTTAAATATTTCACAAATGATAATCCCCTGAAAATATAAAAGTAGTGTGAGGGACGAACAGACCCTTAATAAAGTGTTATTTTAAATTTTAATTATTGAAACATTCCATCATCTAAATTCGAGCATTAGGCTAAAAGCCATAAAAATTTATTTCCCATGGAGTTGTTCCTTGTTGAGGAGGATCAAGCTAGTCAGCGATGTGTCACCCATATTGGATGCCAGACCATTGACAACAACCACCTGACTTCATGGAAAAAACCCAAGAGGAATAACAAGAGAAAACGGAAAAAACACCCGAAGTCAGTCAGTCGTCTTCCAACGTCCATCCACCAAAGTCATCCTCCAGGATTAATACCGTGACCAAGAATCCAGAATTCAACCCGTGACAAAGATCATGCCTCTTTCAAGATATCATCCCCATTTCCGTGCTGTCACACCGTAGTGCTCCTGTTAACTGACAAGATCCGGAATCATTCTATCGAGCATTCCATTGGCGTCAACAGTGTCATCATACTACAAATCTTCAACCTAGAAGAAAGGTATTTATCAACCCGCGATTCGTTTGTAAACTCTCTCTCTCAACGGCCTAGTATAATTAAGCCCGATATCCCTGTATTATCTTTGGTTCTTATTAAAATTGTTATTTGTTAGTTAATATGAAATCCGAGTGAGTCACTTCCTTGTCTCTCTCCTTACCTCTACCCCAAATCCAACCGCTCACCCGGTACCGCTCGCGTGACGTAACGTCGCGATTTCCGAGTCCTGCGAAACTTGGTGGTGTCAAAGAGACACCAACCCTACGGTCACAGTAGTTTATAGTAGGATTAATCTTCTGTTTAATTTCTATAAAAATTCAAGACAATATTAATCTTCCATTTTTCATTTCTTCGCATACAAGAAAGAAAACAAAGATATAACACTACATGAACATAGGAAAAATTTTTCCTATGTAAATTAATCCTTAATAGTGTTGTAACGAATAGTATATTCGGCCAGGAGCGTGGCCGAATAGCTGAATATTCGGCCAAACTATTCGGCTTGATTAACGCACGTACGGAAATTGGTGCGCAAATCGCATTATGGCAAGGATCCTGCTCTCTATTGGCCTGCTGTCACTACGCTTCGCCAATCGCGTTAATTCTTGGCAGTTGTAGCGGACAGACAAGAGTGTCATGGAAGTATGTGATAAATGATGATATCAAATGTGTATAACAATGAAATGACCTACATGTGTAAATAACGGAAAAAGAACAGAGAAGGACCGCGAAGAGAAAATGTGAAAATAAATAAGAAATTGAGTCGATAACATAATCGAACAAGTCGAGGCAGCTTATTGGCACGAAATTTGCGGCCGTCAATGCCAAACAATTGTTGTCATAGACTTCGGAAAGCTAAATGCTTGTAATGAAAGTCACTTAGCGTGCACGGGCGAAAGCCTGGGGCCGTTCGGGCTATCAAGCTGTCTCGAATCTGTGAAATCATAACTGTGACTTATATCGACGTCCTATCTGTCTCTTTTCTCCGTTATCACCAGGCTGAGTCACGTAATTGTAAAATGGGAACTCTACGACGGAAAAGTGACGAATCGAAAGTATCGTGAGCGCGTATTATGATGTATGCACAGGCATACATGGATTAGAGCGATAGAGGAAAGAGAAAGGGAAGAGCAAAGACGAGCGCTTAAAAAGAAGGATAGGCAGGGTCAGACCCTCAGCTGTGCGAGGATTCTCCAACGATAGACGTGTACGTGTACTGATCTTTGTAATTATAAATTGTGAATACATGTGACTAATATTATTTTCATTTTTATTTTGCACATGTTACAAGTTATAAATAAATATAAACAAACAACACTAACTCGATAACATTAAATCTAAATAACAAAATGATTAATTTACTGTGTTTTTGTTATTTATTACTCCTGCTTTTAGGTATTCAGTATTTGGCCGAATAGTGAAAAATAGGCCGAATATTCATTACATCACTAATCCTTAATGATGGAATGTTCCAAGGAGAATCAAATTAATTTCCAGGCCTTAGAGTGTTTCAGTCCTAAAGATTCTTTCTTCTAGTTTGAATTAAGGAATGTTTGAAGGGTTGTGTTTGATTATTAAATATAAATAGGAAAACTTTGCTTTATTATTACGAATTCCAGATCATTGGAAATAACTCTTAGCTTTCATGTATTTCCTGTAATTTGCTATTATATTAACGTTTCAAATCATTAAAATGTCAGTAATTGTATCTGATTTTAGGACAAACATAATTTTAAACAGATAAAACAGAGCCAACCCATCATGTACCTTTAGCAGATCCTAAAACATCTGCATAACTGAATCCTCCTGGAAAGACCACTCCTCTAAACTTATCTAGTTTAATTTTCCTGGACAGTAAATCAGACATGGTTACATCCCACACTTCAAATCCAACCATGTGCAATGAGGCCACCATCTCTCTATCGCCATTTGTTCCCTCTTCACGGATGACTGCAACTCTGGGTGCTATACATATAAGAAAAAACTTTAAATATACCAAAATGTATAAAGCTGTTTTGATGAGTATTAGTTACCTGATGTAATTCTTTTAAGATTAATGCATTCGGTTAAGTCAAAATTTATGCAAAATGGAGGAGCGATGCGACGAGAGATGCTGTTCTTTTCTTGGGTCACGCATTCCGGATTTGTCTGACGATATTCTAATTGAAAACTCGTTTCTTCCCATATATCTCTTAGAGTCGTCATTTTATTTTTTAGTACAACTTCGTTATTAATACTAAGTGTTATCTAGAATAAGAAAGCTTTTTAATATTACCATAATTATTTTATTTGGTGTTTGTAAGAAATTTATATTACCATAGCTTCATTAGCAAAACCACTACTGTATCCAATGTACTGACACGGAATTCCTTTTACTCTATAAGCTTCCTTAATACCATTAACATCATCTTCTCTAACTTCTACTATCCATCCAACCTCTTCTCCAAATAATGTGGACAAAACAGATCCTGAAGGACTATCTATGTTTGTGGTTATGCCACAATTTCCTGCAAATGCCATCTCCAAGAGACAGGTTATTAGACCTCCATCACTAACATCATGTCCAGAAGTTATTTTGTTATCTGAAAATTTATATACATTTATTACTGTATTTCATGGCATTCAAAATATACAGTATTTCCAGGAAAATCGTTTATAAATATCTTCCTATATAAAACTTGTTTCTATTTCTAGCTTTGTATAGGAGGATGGATCTCCAAATAATATTACCAGTATAATTGAACAGATAATTGATTGCCCTCTGATAAGACAATGCTGACTTTTAAATTACCTGTAATCAGACTTTGAGTAACTTCAAATCCAATTTTTAGCAATTCAGCATCTTCAAGATCAGCTGTTTTATCGCCCAACTGGTTGAAGCACTGTGCTAGAGCAGAACCACCGAGTCGTCCCTTACCAGATGAAAGATCAACATACAAAAGATGTCCTGGAAATCCAAAAGATTCGTTACAAAATATCAACAAAAAGTAATGCTGTATATGACTGAGAATACTAGCCCTAGAAATGAAAATATTTATGAAAATAGTACAGTATCTAACTACATTTTAATTGTAAAAAACAGATTAACCTTTTCCGTTTGGACACTTCAGATCGGGCGTAATCACAGCAGTTATGTCAGGACAGGGTGCATAAATTGATACCACCAATGTTCCTATTAAGTATTACTTTGGAAATTATTAAATTTGCTTTAAAATATGTATCTTGCACATTATAATAAACTTACCAGGGGCTTTAACAGTTTCTTTCCCTATTCTAGCAGCCATACTCAAAGAATCTTTCCCTCCATCTATGGCAAGTCCTAATTTTTTCATTGTTTCACACATTGCCTCACATGCATCATACAGGGCAGCACCTTCACCAGCAAGTTTGGCTGCCCACATCCAGTTACCACTGCATTTGGCATCCTAAAATTATAACAGTTTGCTATATTGAAGAAACGTTAATTTTGAAAACAGCTTAGCTTCATCAAAAGATACCTGCAAAGAAGATATAGGTGCAAACATCAAATTGGTAACAGCTTCTGCAACAGACATCCTTGCTCCAGCAGCAGGATCCAACAAACCTTTAATTGGCTGTTCTCCAATAGAAGTTGCACTTCCCATCTAAATTGATAAACAAACTAATTAAAGACTATAAATATATAAACACAGAAATCCCCTGCTTCACAAAAATTCACTTTATGCCATTTTGCCTTTATGAAAGACCTATATTAGCAACCATTTTTGCTACTCAAATGAAAAAGGCAGAAAACAAAAGTAGCATTTAGCATTTGTTTTGCAGCAAGCCATTTTAGAAGCATTATGCACTCTGAGCTGCAAACAGCAAGAAGCATCTCAAAGCTTCTTCCTTGGAAAAGAGTCTCTTTAGCTTATGAACTGTGTCTGTGAGCATCTGTCAATTTGTTTCATGCATTCATTAGCACAGTGTTTTTCAACCTTCTTGAATACGCAACCGCTTTGCAAGTTAAAAACTTATGGCGACGCCCCAGGGCCATATTAAAAATATATCAGTGATTTTAAAAACTACATATTTAATTTTCTTTCTGTTGAGACCTAAATATCAATCGAAAAACCAATTATACTGTAAAATAAACAGGTATAGCCTTCTCACTGAAATTGTAGTTTTGTTTTCATTGTAGTGTAGGACCTACAAACATTTGTCTTTTTCTTTTACCAGCGACCCCCCGTGTAAGGCTTTGCAACCCTCCTGGGGGTCGTGACACACAGGTTGAAAAGCACTGCATTAGCAAAAATAAAATGATAAAAATGTAAAGGCTGTTGCTTGAATGAATTGGATTGATATACAAAGCCTGGAATTCCATAACTTTAATAAAGAAGAAATCAGCCAGTCTTTTCTTTTAGCTGAAACAGAAAAAATGGATGATGGTGATGAAAGTATTGCAAAAGTAGACTTTAAAGGTGTTATGGATGGTTTGATTAGTTTTCAAGACAGAAGCTTCCTAGCTTAAAGGTTACTTACTGGTGAGAGTACTTCTGGTTTAATTTCCCTAACTAAAGTGTGTCTAAATGTACAGACTATATAAAAAATAATCATCATATTATTCATTCACAAGTACTCAAACAGGTTCTAATTATATTACCAAAAACCTTTATTCCAGCAACCTTAACTTAATGCAAGCCTGAGGATCACATTCATTTAAATGTCATTTTTGGACAAAATATCACTTTCTAACAAAAATAATATGAATATGATTAAATTGAAATACAAACTTAACAAATTTTAGAATGTTTTAAATGATTGGATTTATATTCAATTTAACTTTCATTTCAAATCTTTAAATTATGCAAGTCTATAAGGTTTTCATGCAAATGTGCCATCTTATACAAATAATTATAAAACTGAAATACAAACAGCAGCTTAATGCATACCATATATTAGGTATACATAGAAGGAAGTGTCCCATAATAACAGCACTTCATATCAACCTTTCCAAGCAATTCATACACTCATTTGGTCCTTATAAGTGGTTGAATCCAACTTTATTTTAATGGTTTTTATTATTTTGGCATTGTTCCTACATTGAATTTGAATGTATACAGTAGTAAGCTAATACCATATCACTGGTCAATGGCATATGCATTAAACTATAATTTATTAATGCATAAATAGTATTTTAATACTTTATATCTTTTTGAAGGGTTAAATCAAATAAATCACTATTCATAGCACATATTCCAGTGGTAAATGACAATCAATGTTTATAAATTAGTCATACCTCACTGTGTCAAGCTTCTAAGAGTATGAGCAGTGAATATCTTTGAATAGAATAATAAATAGTTTCTATTCTGTTTCAAAACTGTTTATTATTGGGCTGCAATTTGAAAAAATTGTAGACCTATAAATTCCCACTGTTGTCTGTCTGTCTGCTTGTCCTTCCTTAATCTTGAGAATGGAGTTAGATCGATGAAAATCAAGAAAATATATTGAAAAGTAAAGGACAGGAAGCCCTGATTAACTATACATGAACTTCAGCTTTGCACCAGAAATAACATTATTTCAATTCAAAAATGTTCCACTGAAAGAAGTTAGATAGATGACCAGCACGACACTGTTGCTAATAGGAAAAGGATGATGTACAGGAGCAAGAACATATACAGTATTTTAAATTAAATAAATTAAAAATATGATTAAAACTTGCAGCCCAGCATTGTGATGATGTCACAATAAAATAATTGTTAAGCTACTAGGTTTAATTTTTGTTGAATAGTTTTGAGTCATAAAACATTTGATTGTTCATCCATAATATCTAGATTCAAACAGTTACAATTATGTATAAAACTATTTCTAAGTAATTTAAATTAAATAAAAATATCAAAAGAAAAAATTTCACACAGTTTAAATAGCAAAATCAATGTTACGAAAAAAGAGAATATAATTACTTACAGTATCAAAATAAGAAAGGGCAACCACAGCTACATCTGCCAAAGGAGTGTGTAAAGGTCCCACACATTGCTGTTGAGAAATCAGGCCAGTCACACTACGATCAACCTAAACAATAAATCCAGTTTACTATAAAATATTGCAAAATTAAAACCAAATAAATATTAAACAATGTACCTTATTAGTTAAATAGCGTTTACTGGCAACAGATGGCAATCTAAGAACTCGTTCGAGTGCAAGTTGTACACTTAATGCCGACGGTAACGATAATGGCTTTAGAATGGGATAGTATTTCTTCATTTGAAATATCTTTTGAGAAATAAATTTGATTATTATTAATGATCGATGTTATAAACATTCAAGTTTTAAATTCATCCTAATATTTAAGGCCAAGACTCCATTAGCATAAAAACCTTTGTCATAAAAACTTTTAATCATGTGACCTATTTGCATTTGCATCTGGATTGTGGTGGAGGTCCGGCTAGCTAAGATTTTACGGCGATGGTACTATCGAAGTTATAAAGACAATGATTATATTCTACAAGTTTTTTCTGTACTATAATTACAAATGTAATAAAAATAATATCTTTACTTTCATATATTAACTTTTATCATCATATTATTAATTAAGATAATATACAGCACTTATAAGCTTAGCTTTTTTAATTATATACTCCTCTAAATTGAAGGATTTTCTTTTGGCTGTCCATATCGCGTGTTTTAGGTGTCCATTATTATAATTGGGATACTTCTTGTTGTAGATAGATGAATACTTTCGGATGTTTTTGATAAATCTTTCCAGATCTATTCTAGAGTAACCACGAGAGAACGTACACAAAAGCTCATTTTCTGCCATTTTCGCACCGTGTCGCAATGACCTAGATTTCATTAACTTCTGATTGGTGGATGGTACCATTTTACGGCCATATTCGTGGCAAAAGTTGAACACCACTCGACTTGCTTTTACGCTGGTTTTACGACCTGCTCAGGCATAAAATTCATGGTCACGTGGTTAAAAGCTTTTACGGTGAGGGGTTTTATGCCTGTTTTTACGCTAGTGGAGTCTTGGCCTAATACCTTTCTTGGCATAGATGCTAGTACATGCTCCAACTGTAAATCAACAGGATGTCTTTCTTCATTTGGTTTTTCTTCTAATATAATACGTCCGTTACCGACCACTTCGCCAACAAAATTAACCGGACATTTTTCTCTAACAGAGATTGATTCAAGAACTTTCTGATCTCCATGTTTAATAAGTATGGCATCACTCTCTTGATATTCTGCACCCCAAAGTTCTAAAGTTGTTACAGAAGGATCCCCAAGCTGGAACTTATCACAATAAATAATTGCTCCCGAAGGCTCGACAATTTCTTTTAAAACATTACCTAAAGTTAAAAATTAAGTCTATAAAATTTGTCTCTCTCTATTCTCTTCTATACAGACAAAATATTTTTATTTAAAAATATATGTTAAAATTTAATTAAAACGTGGTTTTATAATAGCATCTAGACAATTATTTATTATATCAAAAATGAGAATAATTAAACTTAAGGACAGTCTACATCACTTTTTTATTTAATTAATAATACTGCACATATAGCTGCTTAAATAAGCTTCCATATTATGATCATATAGATATTGCCTTACAAATATTCAAAATTACAAATAAATTTTTAAATATCTAGAATTTCATTTAAAATATTATTAAAAATAAATATATTTTACTTTTGATCCTATAATAACTGAAAAGATTTTCTACTATAAAAAATTGTCATTGTTCAAAAATTACTGTCTTAAATGTAACAATGTTTTTTCTCTTGAATTTTGCCTAATGACAATAACCTTAAGAATGTTTAAACTTTATATTTTCTGTATTATGTACTTATTACTACAATTAAAGTTAATTAATGTGGAAAGAAGCATTCTCATGCCTTATTTGTGAATTGCTGATACATTTATCAAGTATATTCTACTCATATAATGTTAGTGGTCCTAATCTAAGTTTGCCATAAAGCAAATATTTATTGTATAGTAAAGTTTATTTTATCATCAAAGATTATATCTTTGATGATAAAGTAAAACTACTTTATAATAAATATTCTGCACAATAAGATAAAGTAATTTAAATCTATGTCGAATCAATCATGAAGAGTCCATTGTATATTGAGTGTGTATATAACATCTTAAACTGTATATTAGATTTTTATTAAATTATATATTATACAATTGAATTAATAAAAAACTTTTTACCATTTCCTCCAGCACCTTGATCATGGATACTACATATTATGTTTCCTTCTCCTAATTCTATGCATGCCCTAATTACTCGATTGAGTTTTTGTTCCATTTCAGCATCTCCTCTTTGTACTGCATTAAAATCCAATTCTGCCTTTTGGTCTCCTTGAACATGCACAGAAGATGCAGAACCACCACCAACACCAATACGATAAACTGGACCTCCTATTTTTACGACTGTCATTCCTGCAGAAATGTTTAATTAAGTTTATTGAAATTTCTAGAGCAATTCTAAAACATCTGAACAATTTCTAACACCTTTCTGAGGATCAAATTTTTTAATAAATGCTGCGTCGATGCTCCCGATTCCTCCAGAAAACATTATGGGTTTGACCCACTCACGTCGTTCTCCGTTTGGAAGACGCATTCCAAATGATCGAGCAAATCCCAGAATGACTGGCTCACCAAATTTGTTTCCATAATCTGAAGCTCCATTACTTGCTTCAACAGCAATATCCACAGGAAGGGCAAAGTTAGAAGGATAATCGAATGTCTTATCTTCCCAAGGCAAAATGTATCCTTTATAACAGATAAATAATAACAGTTTAGAGCACAGAAAGTTAATATTAACAAATACATTTACAGTATATACCTGGAATATTTAAATTTCCAAAGGAATAAGCTGCCGAACCAGCTATCACATGGGAACCTCTTCCTGTTGCATGAACATCTCGGATACGTCCACCGGTACCGGTTGCTGCACCACTAAACGGAGCAACACCTAAAAAGTTAATTTGACATATTTTTTACCATTCGTATATTATATTTCAATATCAACATCACTTATAATTATTAAAAATTAACTCAACTTACCCGTAGGAAAATTATGAGTTTCAGCAGTAAACACGATATGACGTACGCCGGGACGAGTAATGAAGGAACTAGATTGATGCGAATCTTTTGGTAATAATATATTTACAGCATAACCCAATATTGCACTGAAATTTAAAAGGGATAATTAATATAGAAAGTTGATTTATATATATCAAAAATTAAATGAGTATTTTGAATTATTTATTACCTGCTATTATCAGAAAATTTGATGACATTATTGGAACTACTGAATTGTTGAGTACTCATCACCATATCTATTAAAGATTCTTTCTTTTCTACTCCATCAATTACCATTCTTCCTTTAAAGAACCAATGTCTACTATGCTCACTACAAATAAAATAAAGTTTTATGCATACTTGAAAACTAATTAAGTTTAATGATAACTAGCAACAAATTCTACTTCTATAATGAACTTTGGTAGTAGAGGTTTCAAAATATATATATTATAGTCTTTTCTATAGTCTTTTCACAAAATACAGTGTAAATGCATACAGAAGCAACATTCAAAACTTAATAATTTATGTTTGTAATAGTATGCTATACAAATACTTTATACAATAAAATTGATATAAATGATATATAGTATATGTACTGTACATAAAATGTTTAAATAATGAACAACAGAATATTAAATAGTAGAAGTCATTATTGCTATGAATTATTGATAATTTATAGATTAAACATAAAACACAACAAAACATTTTGCATTTCTAACCTAGACAACAACATATTTTTGTGCATACATGTTATGACAATGACATAAATACCATAGAACAACAAGTCAATCACGAAGCCAATTTTGGTCAATCACTCGCAATGTCTTGACTTAATGTGTTACACTGGTAACTGAACGCAATGCATGAACATAGTGATATCGGACCTCCGCGTCCTCCCTCAGACGCGATTTTGTCGGTCCATGTGCAATCCATTTGCGTACAGTTGTAAAAGGGGAATAAGAAATGTAGACAAAGGGTCGTAAACTGAAAAAAAGAAAGGCAGGAAGAGGGACAGAGAGAGTAGGTCGGAAGTCAGGACATGGTAGAGAAAGAAAGGGTGAAGTAGTGGTCCCCCAAAGTGACGATGTTGATTTTCAATTTTTTATTTGTTTAAAATGTAAGTACCTTTTCTTCATGTTTTAAATTAAATTGTGGCTTTTCTTACCTATCTAAAAATAGTATGTATTTCACACCTCCCCCTCGCCACTTAGACTATGCCTACAACAAGTCGATCATGACACATTTTTAAGATAAAAAGTAGATCTTATGTACACAAAAGTTGGCCTCCCTGCCATAGAAAATTGTTAGAATGAAAAAAAAAACTCCTTTGCATAACTTACCCCACAGCAGGGCAAGTTATGCAAAGATTTTATTTTAATTCTATCAATACATAAGTCAAAAACTTAATTTAATTTTTGTATGTGAAATTTTTCCTTCTTAAATAAAGTATATTTTGTAATACTAGATACACACACTACCAGATGGTGTTAAAATCCTTTTTATAATGGAAATACTTTTAACAATACAAAATTGTTGTCATCAGACTACTGAACATCTCAAATTTGGAACAGAATGTCTTTGTGTGCAGTATAACATAAAGCTACACACCATTCTCAGCATTTAAACATTTAAAATTCACAATGATATTAGCTTTAAATTACAATAAAGAACAAAACTTTGAAACAAGAGGCACAATGGAAATCTCAAAGCATTTTTATGACATGAGTTTGTGATGCGTTACAATATGGGACAACAGAGTCATGATTGAAGAATTTAAAAAGTGAGATAATTTTTCAACCATGATGCCACACTACCCTAGTCATCCTGCGGCACAATGCACTATGAATTCATGCCATAACAATGTTTTGAGAATTTCATTGCACCTTTTGTTTCAAATTCTTGTTCTTTCTCATAATCATGAGTTTCAACTTCCATTGTGAATTTTAAATGTTTAAATATTGAGTGTGTTATACTGCACATAATGATGTTCTGTTCCAAATTCTAGATGTTCTCTAGCATGATGACAATGATTTTTATTGTTGAAAAAACTTGCATTATAAAAAAGATTTTAACACCATCTGATAGTGCATATATCTAGTATTATAAAATATTTGATGTAAAGTTTAACATACTAAAGTACTGTACATTAATAATATAAAAGCCATTGTCTGCGAGTGTATGAATTCCTTATAACTCCTGCAATTTTTGTCCAACCCAGATGAAATTTTGATTATATTTGTTTTATGTTCTGATGGAAAGTATAGGTTACTTATTTTTTGGAAATATTATCTATAGAACAAATATTTTTATTAGTTTTTAAAATATTTTGGCAAAGGGCATATATTTTAGACTTACTTCATTAGATTTAAAATTTAAACTTAAAAAAAAAAAATAGCTGCATCATGTCAGTTCTATAACAAATATTTTTTTAAAATCTTTCTATAGTGATCACGTGACATTCTATTATCCAATCAGAAGTAACAATCTAATGACTCCATTACAGTAGAGCGTCATTTATCCGAATCAATTGGGGACTGGGGTTGTTCGGATAACTTATTTTTTGGATAACCGATTATGTACGAAAAAATATATCAACCTATCCTATGTTGAAATTTTTCTCCATTGCGTGTCACTCCGCATTGAATTTTCGTTGATGTTAAGCCTAACAAAAATTTTTATAATAATAATCGTGGCTATTGTATCGTTAAAAATTATTTCTTTATTTTGTACAAACAAAATAAATATATTGAAAAATATAAAAACAAAAAAAAATACTTTAGAAGTTAATCTAGTATCAAAAATGTTCGATTCAGCACAACACAGTCCTCAGAAAAACACTACACAAAAGTGCCAGTGCTGCCAGCTAAAGCACACACACCAACAAAAAAAATATTGGAGTAGCCCAAGACACAGCCAAAGGTTGCAGCGCCACAGCACTAGTGGAAATTTAAATTTGCCGACTGAAACGCTTTCGGTTAACTGGCTTTCAGATAAACGACGCTCTACTGTATTTATAAAGTGTTATCACTCATTTAAATAACATACATACAATTCATCTTTGTTTTATTAACGTGAAATTAAAAAGACTTGGTATTTTGTCCAAAAAAAAAGGCTTTGTCAAGGGCTGCACTCATAAAAAGTATTCAATCATATTTGATGGGGGAATTTCTAGTTTTGAATTATTTGAAATTATCATTACTGTTTTTATTTAGTTGATACAATAATTTAAACTATATTTTCTTGAAAATTATCAAATAATTTATCTATAAGTAAGAAATAATTTTTAAGAAGTCTTCTATAAATTTTTCTTTGTTTTTTCAAGAAAATTGAGTGAATTAAATAATAATGCTGGCCAAGAATTATGAAAGCAGCAAGCGGAATTTATAACAGTTGTAAAAAAAGTTTTTGAAACAATAGTAAATTTCAATCAATCAACATCATTAAAATTATCTCAAGATTGTAATAACGATTATTAGTGAAATCAAACATATTATTATTAATCTGAGGAAGTTATTAAACACATTTGAGTTCAACAAGTTGACTCAAAATACAAATTAATATAAGGCCAGATGGCCAAGACTAATGTTTATCAATATACTGTTGCTTACTACCTTAGTATTAGTGACAAACCCTCCACATCCAGTCTAAATGGAAGAATGAGTAATGTCAAAAAAGGAAACCCCAGGGATATAAGGGTGAATGGAAGCACATGGGGAAACAAGAAGAAAAGTAGATGGAGTAGGGGCGAAGCATGGAAAGTGCAGAACAAAGGAGAGTGCTTTGGACAGGTGTAACTGAGAAGACTCTGAGCATCTGAATGATGAGTGCAAAGAGATTTCTGAAGTCTGTCAGAAATTATAACTTGAACATTAGTTTAAAAGTGGCTATTTTTGTAATTTTTGTAGCTGGTACTAAGTGCAGTTTAAACTCTGGACCTTAAAGTTATCGTATCACTTATTGTCTTTGTCTTATTGAGCCTCGAGAACAGTAGATCAACCCTAACGTGTGTGAATGGCTTTTACACCTATCACTCAGTTACACCATCCCATTCTTAGCCATAGTCATTGCCACCTACATCTATACTTCTTTATTTATTTACTTATACTTTCTTTATTTATAACAAATTTACTCTTTCCTCCCCCACATTATTTCCATAATGGTCTCAAGTCTAATACTTAAAAGTGGTTTGACCAGGAAATGTCATATCCTATCACTTACTATCTGGTTCTACATTGTGGGCAAGGCCAAACACATAGCAGAAAAAGCCATCTTGGTACCCGCAAAGAAGAAATAATGATACAAACAAGATACTTATGCTGTTTAAACAAACATCAATTGATATTTTTATCATTGATATTTATAACATTAATTCATAAAAATGCTTTAACTTAAAATAATTGAAAAGCCATAATATATCAATACCTGTTTGATTGAGCCAAATCAAAGCATTCCACTGTTGTCGGATTCCTTTGTAATTTACTGCAGAAGAGATTTGTGTAATAATCTAAATCCCAATCATCAAATGAAAGTCCTTTAAAATTAAAAATAATCAAAAGCAATTTTTCAAAATTTTATTTTAAAACTTTTAAATGTTTTACTAAAAATAATTATAAATAACATACCCAATTCTTCACTCACTTTTTCGAGTGCTTTTCTTCCCTGCTCAAGTATGGGCACTTCCGACCATGGCTGTGGTGTTATCGTTAGATCGAAACTGAGAATTGGTTCTTCATATGGTAACTCTGTCATTTTATCATGCAGAACATTTATAAACTGAGTTAAAATTAAAATAAATTAGTTTAGAATAATTAAGTTCAATACAAAATAAATAATATGGTAATAAGCCACACTAATTCAGAATTTCTGATAATTCAGATTACTATTTTTCACTGTGTAATTTTTTTTAAATAATTAATTTGTCAATTCTAATCTGGGTTTTAATGATTATTACCTTACTCTTAGATGCATCAAGTTTTGTTATGAATTGGATGCATGTACTGTACAAACCGATATTCTGAGTGTGAGATTATCAATAGGAGAAGAAAGGGTGATGTTAAATCCAAAACCTTGTCAAGAAGAATGAGCAGTACAAGCATAATGTGCGTGTGATTGTCGACATTGACACAAGTCACTTTTACAAAACAAGCTGTTTATTTGGAAAATACATAATGCTTACATAGTTCTATTCATAAAAATTCTTCTGGAGTAGAGAGCAGGAGTTAAGTTTAGCCTATTTTCTTCCATCGTCAGTATTCCACTGGAGTTCCAGCAGTGATCAGTGGATGGTCTGATGAGAGAAGGTGAGTTAGTTGGGAATTCACCGTAGAAATTCATAGGAGGATGAAGAGGAAACAGTGGTGGGTGGATGTAGGAACAAGTGAGACACTGCTACAGAGGACTAGCAGGTCAAGTTAAAAAGAAGCAACTCTTTCTCGGGGTTTTTAAAAAATTTATCCCCAAAATTCTTGATTTGATTGGTCCCAATTTTCTCTCTCTACTCTCTACTCTACACTTCCTGCTTCCAAGTGAAATTAGATGACCAGATTGGGTACGGGAAAGATTACTCTCCTTCAATCAATTTGATACCTTAATTTGATTTCATCCAAAAGTGTTGACTGAACTTCGAAACTTTTGCTCATATCTCATGCAATGATATTTTCTTTTTTGATACCTAAGAATTTTCTTTTTCCTTTTTTTTTCTTTATTGACTACAGTGCAATGGTTTTTCTTTCAAAAAAATACATTTCCTTGTTTTTTCCAAATTTTGTCATTTCTACGAGTTGAGTCAAAGTTCATTCATTCTGACAGACATTCTGAACATTCCAACCTGCATCAACCTGACCTCACAAGGTTTATCATACTGTGCTTATTTCACGCCTTTACAACTGATCTATTTTACAATTTTTTGTTAATAAAATATTTTATTAACAAAAAATTTTTTTTTTTTTTATATTAACAATATTATCATCCAGNAATATATATATATATATTCACAAGTTCCAGTGTTGAAGAATTCTGTTTTTTGTGACAAGTTTTTCAAGATTCGTCAAGGGTGATCACACATACATTTATATCATATGTTAAGTAAAAAAGAAAAAAACATTATAGAAGACTTTAAAGTGCATTCAAGGATAGAAAGACTCAGCAAATGAGATTCCAAATTGTTCTGCAAGACAAGATGATGATATATTTCCTAATTTAAAGAAGGCCAAAGAACTGCAGTGCAAATTTCAAAAGGTACAAATCAACACTCAAATTTCTTTCAGAATGATAATCCAAAAGAAGGTAGTGAATTGACAGATGAACAAGTAGCATTCAAGAAAGCATATTTTAATGTAACCAATAAAGCAATAACCACAATCCAGCAATATACAAGGCCAAAGATACAATTAACAATCTCAAATTTAGTATTTGAAAGAGTTAATTAATGATTGAAATGATAAAATTATTACTTACATTTTTTCTTGTATTTGCAAGAAGAATCTTGTCATTTTTATCAACAGTGATCAAATATCTGATTGCTCTCTCTACACGAGTTACAGAGGTGAGCCCAATAGAATGACAAATTGACACGGCATTTGTTGAATATGGAGTGGAAAAATTTAATCTAAAATTCACAAAAATATCATTATTTAAGTTATTTAAGTTTATTCTTAAATGGTTAGTAGGTTATTGATATAAGAATGGGTATAAAGATTATATGTAAGAATATTAAGTTTAAAAATAACCTTTTTTCAATTTTATTAACATTTACCAATGAATGAAAACAAAGAAAAAACATGTCATTGTGAATTTGTCTCTTTAATCCGATTTTCAGTTCGGTAGACTATCATATACAGCATTCAGGTTATGAATTACAAACTGTTTTCTCCATCCATATTCAAATATTCTTTCAGAATATCACTTATGGCTGCTGCTATTTTCGTTGTGAATTTGTCTCTTTAATCCGATTTTCAGTTCGTTTTATTTTTATAACCTGAATGCTGTATATGATAGTCTACCAAACTGAAAATCGGATTAAAGAGACAAATTCACAACGAAAATAGCAGCAGCCATAAGTGATTTTCTGAAAAAAAAAACATGTCAGTAAAAATGAGTCTTATTACATAAGAATATGTAATATAAACAATCAAATTCAGCCAAGTAATATTATAGGTTTTTTATTATTTATTTCAGCACAGTTAACTTTAATAACAAACACTATTTTTCACTACAGTTTTATCATGTAACATTTATTCAACATAAAATTATTGACACAATACAATATTAGAACCAAAAACATCAATTATAGCAGAAGATTCCTGTAATAGAAAGCAATGAGATATATTCTAAATCTAAGATACACATAGGTATTATACAGTGGGTGATTAAATATAAAATCATACAAGGCAATGAATATTCAAATTCTTATGCTACGAGGCTATTCTACTTTCTCGAATGTGGAGAGAGAGTTTACAACTTTTTAACAAAATACCTCAATTCTTTGTTGGTCGTCGATAAGACATCATTCTATCATCTTGATGAGGATTCACCATCGAAAGAATAGCGAATGTCTTCTCTGGGGACTTTGTATTTCCCTTTTTGGGCAGACATCCGCTTTTATGGGAGCACTTATGGCCAAACATTAATTCATTGGCATGTTGTGACAAACGTCTGGAACTTCTGGTGTCTCCACCTTTTATATGAAATGCGTGGGAATCTAGTCACGTGATCTTTGGTTGTTTAGACCATGAAGGTTACTTTTACAGATGTGCGAGCTTGGCGACGACTTTTGTTGACATCATGGAGTCGCTTTTCTGTCCTTTCACAATCGGATGTTATCATATTGCAACTGACTGTTAAGATTCTCATCCATTTGTTGATAATAAAGCTGTCATTCAATCCGTGTTTCTAATGCCATTTCTGCTCAATGCATTATCGTTCATACAGTCATCTAAGTGCTCCTTGAATCTGGAATAGAAGATTCGTCTCATTGTTCCAAAAATTTTTGCTTCTACAATTGCTCCTCTGTAAGTCGGTAATTATACATATTCCTGACTCCTCCATTGTGTGTCATTTTTTCTTCTCATTCCTAATGCAATCAGAAGACAGTGTAGGATTCTTCTTAAGTATATTTTTGTGTCACTTTCACTAAGATTTTCTAGAAATTCAGGCTCCATGAGTCCAGATAACATAAATTTGGGGGTAAATCTTATTTTTTCCACCAAATTGTTCCACAATCTCAGCCCTTCTCACTGTCAGATCTGCCAAGATTCCCACTATAGTTTTCTCAGATTTGTCTCCAAAAAATAGTTTGTTGATATAACTTTCAAGATTCATATAGAAATTAATTAAGGATTCAATTAACAATTCTTTGTTTTCTTCATTTATTTCTTTTTTTTTGATAAACAGAAGTAAAAAAAACAATGGATAAAACATCATCACAGTTCTTTCCCTGGATATTCTCACAATGCTAATATCATTGGTAATCTAAGGAAGAAAATTGGTGGCAAAATGTTTCAGCATCAATGTTGAAATAAACTTCCGTATTGTCAGTACATCAACTCAAAATAAAATCTATAATTGCTTACATCTGCATCACAAGGCCTTCGACAGTGCCTAGTGGCTCTTGATCATACACCAACTTAGAGCTTTTGACTGCCGACCAGCACTTTCTATCTGCTCAGAGACTTTTTGAACAACAGAAAAGCATTCTACTCCATTGGGGACCAAACTTTCCACAAGGAAGTCATAAGGGGTTGTCCTCAGGGCTCTGTGTGTGTAGACCACTTCTCTGGATCACCATCTTTGACAGGTTCCTCAGAGGTAACTTCAATCACGACTGCATTGTGGCTTATGCAAACGATGCCCTGGTGCTGATTGGGAGATGCTCCCGTGCTGAATTGAAGACCAGGAGAATCAGGTTCTCCATGACATTTCCCAATGGGGCAGAGATAACAAGCTGCAATTTAATGCCACTAAAACAAAGGCCGTTGTTTTCAAAGGCTGGCTGTGGCAATCTGTATGCCCACATCCCTATGCTACGCATGGGCAATGCGCATGTCAAGGTCTACAAGGAAATTTGCTACCTGAGAGTGATCTTGGATCACAAGCTCTCCTGGGATCAACATGTTAAATACATCTCTCAGAGGACTTGCCTTATCTTTCAGGCTTTTGCCAGAGTTGCAAAGAATATTTTGGGGCTTAATGCCAAAGCAATGGACATCATTTACAATGCAATTTTTCTCCCAATCATTACGTATGGCTGTGGAAGCTGGGGAGATAACCACTTCCTTCCCGTCGAGTACTCCAAAATCCCTACCAAGGTTCTTAAATATATGCTGAGGAAAGACCTTGTTAACAACTGGCAGGCCGACTGAGACAACTCCATTACGAAACAGTTCTTTTCAAATTTATATGATCTGCTCAACAAGAAATGGATGAAGCTTAACTACCATAATGTTCAATTCATTACCAATCATGGAAAATTCTGTAATCACAGGGTCAGAGCCTCTTTGGCACCTTGTCAGGATGACACCACTGTGTCTTTATGAACAGGCACAAAAACCAGATTGGTCACTCTTTTCGTTAAGTGAGCGGTCACGTTTACAGGCTTTCAGACCCAGAATGAAGGTGGATGGAAACGACCGGAGGAAGTACACTCCACAAATTAACATTTAAGAAAATACCCGTTTATTGATAGATAGTACTTACAAATTCTACGAGATACTGGTTACAAGTTTCATCATTCAGAAGCTTAGCCCAATGGCTAAAAGTAAGTTACACACTTAGCACAATTACTAAAAGGAAAGATATATATAGAAATATACCAAACACAACCCTGATCGAGAGAGAGAGAGTTCACAGTAAGTTTGCGAGATGGTAAATACCTTAATCACTTGTTGGTCATAAGAAGTGGTAATCCTAGATTTGGTGAATCGATGATCGGTTCAATGAAGACTCAGCAACTCTGGAAGAAGGAAAGTTCTTTTTCTCTTGCGAGGGCAGTAAGTGGCAATGGCTGAAATCGGCAAACACACAAACACGCAGTTCAGAATTAGAGTTGATGATGACTGCTGCGACTTGTTGTCACCCCTCCCTTTTATTCGGGGCTCCTCCTGGGTTTTTCCCATGACTTTGTTAGGAGGTTTAGTACACGAGTGAAAATGTGGCCAATAGTCACATTTTCACTCGTCGATTCTAGGTGACACATTCGATGCATCATCTTCAACAAGGAAATAAGTTTGTGGGAAAATAGTTTATCTTTGATGATTTTAGCAAAACAACTTTAATGAAAAACTAAATTGAACAAAAATTTTTTCACCAAACCTGGCTCTCACAATTCAATGCTTAATTATACAGATTCTCTTGCAGCAACAATAACCTTTGCCCTATCTGTGGTGTTCTTGATGGCAGTCTGCACTATATCTATAATTGCCTCAATACTGAGCATAAAAAGACAACTCAAAATCTTCATCAGGGGCAAAAACAAGTTTTGGCCATGTAGTTGTGAGAAGCTTACTCACAACAACGATACCTACAATTTATTCCTCAAATTAGTGGACAGGTACTTTCGGGTTACCCCGATCAATTAATGTACTCTTTGGCTGTATCTTGTCTGTTATTCTGCATTTAAAATTTGTTTTTATTGTAATTTATTATATGCTGGTACTGTTATGCATTTATGCTTACTGTTGCATTTTATGTAACCACCTTACTTTAGTTGTATATATTATACATATCTTATTTTATTTCTCATACTAGCATTTAGCCACTGTTTTCTTTTTATTTTGTCTCTCTCTACTCATGTATATTGTATATATGTTTGTATTTACTCATTTTTTTTTTACCTTGTATTATCATGTAGCTATTGATTTCACTGCTTATCTTGTTTATATGCTTACTCCATTTTTCCTTTTATATCGTGGCAACAACTGTTATAAATGTAATCTCATTTTATTCTTTCTCGTATTTTGTGCCTGGTTGTGCATTGCAGTGCCAGGCTATGTAAGTTGTTAATTTATATTAATAAATATATAATGAATGAATGAATGAATATGACATCACAAAATTATCAAAAAACATATCAAACATTTATTGATTCAATACCAACAAATAAACTATTATTATTAAAGACAGAGACAATCCTGAATATTATTGTAGCATGATATGCAGATTGTACTCTATTTTTAAATACAATGGTGCCTCGTATAACGTACTTAATCTGTTCCAGGTGCACGTCCGTTAAGTGAAAAGTCCGTTATACGAACACATTTTCCCATAGAAATACATGTTAAAACATATAATTTGTTCCACAGCATAAAATAACTGTACTGTACCATAAAATAAATGAAAATGGAGCAGTCATCAATTATGCCAGGTAGTCAGATGTGAGGAGGAGGAGGTGGAGGAACACTTTCTTTACACATTCATACAGATACAGACTTTTTACACATGGCAGCAAGTCTCTTTTTATTGTTTTTTAATTGGAGTCAGATTCAGGAGAGGCTACCGGAGCTTGCAGGGTCATCTCCTCTTGTTCCATCCTTTGTTTTTGGCAGCTTGCTTCTTGAAAAACATGTCCAAAGTGGTCTGTTCTCTTCTTCAACA